TAGTACACGTAATAAAACCTATCATATCAGTTGTTCCTAAGTTTGTATCACATTTATTAAAGCCTAGTTTTATTAAGACATTTCAATAAATTATTAAGTTGCATGACTTCAAATTATTCCCCTTATAATGGTTAATTTTTATTTACTGGCAATACTAATATCCTTGACAGCCACGCTCTTACCGGCCAAGAAAAGTATGTGGCACAGTACTTCATTTTTAGAGGCTGGTTCAATGATAGATAGGTAATACATAGACTATAGACTACATTATAAGTATGATATTGAGTCAACACTCGATATTGTAGCGCTCTGGAGATGGTTGTGCTAGCTAATATAAGAAAGGGTATGTACAGAATTTCAAATCACCATCGACCGTAATCGGATATTATCAAAAAGGTTGTTTCACTCAGACATAAAGTATAATATATATATTTTTATTAGTAGATAGTAGATATTAATTAATGGGGTAAATGAAAGTAAAAAATTAATATTTATTACTTTTGACTGTGTATTATTTCTTCAAATATTCAAAAGCACAGCCTGCATCTTTTTTACTTGCTGAAATATATTTTAATTTTGGCCTGGTTTCAAATAAGCCTGTGCTATTAATCTTCTTAATGTAATTATTAAAGATGGCAAGATAAAAAATTTTGAAGCCACCTATATGCTCCAGACTTCTCTTATAAAGGCTTAGTGCCATAATTATTGCTTCTTCTTTAAATCATCTTTTACCTAATGAAAATAGAATATCAACTATCACGAAATATGGTGAAGTCTTAACTAGCGAAGTCGGGGATTATTGAATGACCCCATTGGACATGACAGTTAAAACCACAGAGAATTTGTTATCACTGCCATCTACATACAGAGCCATGTACAGTGATTAATAACGCTAAAATTACATACTCGTATGTATGAAGAACACACAGAACAGTAACGATTGTAAACCTTATAGTTCTTTAAAAGTAATTAAGCCTTAGATCTTGTATTTTGCATTTAAGTTTTAAACTGCGTTATTGACGGAAAATCTGCTGGGAGCTGGCAACATTAATTTTCGGAAACAGTGTTTAACTTTGCGAACTAGCAACCCTGATGAACTATGAAAGCGGGTTATGCAAACTAAAGTTTTAACAATACAATAGCGAGAGAGAGAAGATACCGCGAGAGAATAGACAAATATATTGATTACAACAAATTACATATTGACTACGCAAGAGAATTACTGCGTCAGATGTCAAATGTCAAACGTCAAAGACATAGTGTCGTAACCTTAACCTAACCGAACTTCCCGTCGATGGAAGTGGGGCGGCCATTATGTCACGATACCTTTGTAATTTATGACTACGACGAATCGTGTATTCTAACTACTTCGATTATCAATAGCAATCCATGATACATTTAATGATATTAATTATTATTGATGTGGTTAAAGTTAAAATAATTGTCTCTCATTTGTTTCGCCAACTCAATCAATATAGTTATGATCAAGATTTTCTGTCCTTACATATCTTTATATATATATAAATCTACTATACGCGTGTATGTCATTGAACTCCTCTTAAACTGCTGGACCGATTTGAATGAATGTTTTTGTGTGTGTGGCGCCGCGCTGCAGTACTTTCATACTTTGTTTAATATCCTAATCGCTTGAAATATCGTGCAGGACAATTTCTGTCGGGTCTAGTTATTAATAAAATTTAATCTAACTGACTTATTCTTCTTGTTTTTGTGCCTCTTTATTACTGGAGGTTGGCCATCAGTTTCGTGAAGCGTGTCTTGTCCTGTGCCAGATGCAACAACTCAATGTCCACTTCCTAACGTTACGAAGCAGTGGCGTAACAATAGGGTGGTAGGGCTGGCAAAATGCCATGGGCCCCCGACCCATGAGGGCCCCTGCCTAAGAGATATTATGTTCTATGGATGAATGTGAAGTCTCCAATACGCATTGGGCTAGCGTGGGGACTACTGACCATTCCCCCTCGCTTTAGAGAGGAGGCCTATGGCCATTAGTGGGACATATACAACGTGTAATTGAGTACTCTGAAAATCTCATTTTTTTTTAAATTCAACGTGAATATTTTTACTGAGAGGGCCCCATCAAACGAATTTGCCACGGGCCCCAGATTGTATAGTTACACCACTGTTACGAAGCCTGATTTTTTCTTCTACCAACACACTGTTTACCCTGGATTTCAGGGTCATGGCACAATATGTGACCCAGGTACGCAATTGACTTATTCATATAATAATAAATCAGTATTTTAAACGATTGGGAACGAGCCTATGGGACAGCCATAAAAGGTACTTGCCGCAACCGATGAACACCAATTGGGATGCGTTGTCAGCCTATGAGGGAGGAGTATGGTGATGATGATGATTTGGAGAGAGATAAAACTGTGTTAATTTATTGGTGTTTTGAAAGAAATTTTTACATTGTAATACAATTTTTAGAATAGAAAGAAAAATATTTTCATACTTCTGACGCTTTACCTGATTTCAACGTTTTTTACCCTATGTATGGAAGTACAATTTACTTCTTATACATAGGTAAATATCGTTGTTCGAAATACATAACTTTTGTTTAATAAAATTTGATGAGGTTGAACTAAAATTGTTTTACTCGGCCGATCGTCATATTTTTTGGTTAGTCATTGTTGAGATTTATTCGGGTTACGTTAGACGCATTTTTATATATACTTTTTGCTGAAAATATTGTGTGCCTTTTGGTAAGGAGACATTGTAACGAGGTATGTACTCAGGACTTAATATTCTAGTATTAGATTGTGTATCGACGGCCACCGAACAATCGTAATTATCAACTCAAACTATATATAACTTGAGATATTAAAAATACGGTCGTAATTTTAATGAGCGACTTTAATTATTAATTTTAAAGAAGTTAGATACTGCAGTGGACTTGCGAAATGAATGTTCTTCAACTTTATTATCTTTTTATTTACAAGAAAAGTTCAGCTGGAAAGGTCAACTTTGAAGTCCAATATACATTTTTAAAAAGGACAAGAGCGTCCTTTTAAAATGTACTTTAATATATACTTTATCTGTGGGGTTCTTATATAAACGCCAGTTTCTTACATTTTTATAGCTCCACGTTTCACATTACAGCTATGTGGTGTGAGTCGTACACCAACTGCTAAATATAATGAAGTTTAAAGGATTATACATCAGAAATACTATATAGATACACAAAACCATGAAGATAATCCCAACCCTATATAAATAATACGATGCAGAAGTTCGGGGGTTCGATCGAAAAAAAATTACGCACGCACACACCTTTATCTATATATATATATGACTATTAACGCTTATTTAGTTATTCCTTAAAAGAAGTTATGTGCTAACATATCTGTATATTTATTTATTTTGCCTTCAGCCTCTTTCTAATTAATCTGTCAAATGGAAGAGAGTATCTGCCCACACAGGGAATCCTAGTGTGAGGGCTAGTGCACTTATTACTAAACATCCCTTTTTATGTGTAATAAAGGCTGTAAAAATCCGTAATCACACAAAAACTAACCATAGGATAATCTAGGACTATACACGTTAAGAGTGAATTAAATAAACTCCACTTTCAAAGTCAAAGTCAAATCTTTATTGCATTCCTTATGTTTATACTTTAGTTTAAGTATGGCAATTGAAAAAAATGATGAATTTAATGCCGAGGAATAGGAATTCCAAATAAGAAACTACGACTACAGATTAGGAACTGAAAAACGAACAGTTTTTTGGTTAAAGTGTACTTTAAGTTATTTCATTTTAACATAATGATAATACCCAAAATATTTTACAAACTTATTCAAAATAAAGAATTAACTACTTTCGTTTAAATGGGTAACTAAAATTAACCGTTAATTTAACCTTGACACATTGACTCTTTGTCGATCGATTTAAAGGGTGACAAGGTACTTTGTTAGGGTTATTTTATGTGGAAAATTGGAAAACCCAGGAAACGTTGACGAAATATAAATATTACTTTAGTTGATTTTGCAACGGGAGAATAACATTAATCATAGCTTTGTCTGCGCAAAATGCATAAAAAAAGAGAAAATTTCAATTTTTGTTAGTTTGTAACGAATAAACTGAAATACTACTGGATTTTCAAAACTCTCTCATCATTAGAATGCTACATTATCATTGAGTAATAAAGGGTTTATTTATTTCTAAATTAAAAAAAAATTATCCTTCTGAAGGCAGAATATCTTTAAACTTTTACATATTTTCGTCCTTCTAAACCAGTAGTTTTTCTAGCGTACCACTTCAAAAAAGACTTCAAACCTGCGTACCTCTTATTACAGCAATCCTACTGATCTTATAAACGCGAAAGTTTGTATGAATGTGTGGATGTGTGGCCATTGTTTTTACTGATAGCCGCGCGTACCTCTTGATGCAATCTCACGTAGCCCTGGGGGGAACGCGTACCACTAATTGGGAAACAGTGCTATAAACTATTCCCGGAATGAATGTGTTTGCCTTATGGTTCCTATCTAAAAGTTCTCTCTATTGTTACAGAATTACAATAGCCGCCAGCAATGCCACCATACGTGAGATTCAGATCGGAAAATGAATATATTGAGGTAATGTGGCGACGAGGTCAAAGTCGGTCTCCATAGCGCCCCATACAACTGTTCTTTGCAAGCTCCGAGGAAGTTGCAAGTACGTCTGTGCTTTTTCGTTTACATCATCATGTAGATCGATTCTAAGAATTAGTCTCTGAATATTTTTTATCTTTTTTTATGGAGGCAAACGGGCAGGAGGCTCACCTGATGTTAAGTAATACTGCCGCGCATGGACACTCACATTGCCAGAAGGCTCGCAAGTGCGTTGCCAGCCTTTTCTCTTGTCTTATTCTTCGTCTGTTTGTTCTTGTAAAGTATGAACAATTTATCCGCCTTTCGTCTGTTTCAGGATTTTTTTTCAACCCCTTCTAACTGTGTAGCCCACGCCGCATATTCCACAATATAAATCATATTGTTTCAGGGATGAATCTTCTTAATATGGACGCGGAAAACCGCGTGGTTCTGAACGTGGGCGGTATTCGTCATGAGACCTATAAAGCTACTTTGAAGAAGATCCCCGCGACTCGGCTGTCACGACTGACGGAGGCGCTCGCCAACTATGACCCTGTCCTCAATGAGTACTTCTTTGATCGGCACCCGGGTGTCTTCGCGCAGGTGCTTAACTACTACAGGTAATATAGCGTACTCGATAGGATTATCTGAAGATATATATTTCCTTGTTTATGTTAATAATAACTATAATTTTGAATTAAACCAGCAACGACAGATTTATAGAAAAAAATCACTTTACCAACTATTCATTACCAGTAACCTCTTCCTTTTTGTCTTCTTCTTCTGTCTGGTGCCACTTTATTGCTAAAGGTTGCTAACAACTTGAATTGCCTTTAAGGTATCTTGCGCTAGTCTAAAAGCTCTTCGGCGGATGTGATGTCGGTGTACTCCCGTAAGTCAAATCATTTATTTCAATTAGACCACCTAAAATGTCGTCGTCGAACGTCAAATAAAATTTAAAGATTATTAGTTGCCTCTTCCAAAAGGTAGTTTCGTGTGGAGAAGAATGGGCAAGAAACAGTAAGTTCTTGCCGTACTGTACTGTACTTTGAATTTATTAAGTGATAATTCTCTAATTTCGCTTGGGAGTTTGTTGTTAAAACGAATACAATTTCCATATAAGGAGTGGTTTATCTTCTGGAGCCTGGTTGATCGTACGTTTATTAGTAAGAAAAAGTAACTACCTCCATTAAGAGTTTTTCTTTTTAATTGGTCCTTCAAACTGGATAAAAAGAAAAAGTAAAACGAATAAGAAAAATATTTTCTGCGTTACATGTTTCATTCAAAAGGTACGATTATACAAATGTTTGAAGTTTCAGAGCAATGTAAGGTTCTATTATGGAAAGGGTCAGGAAAATATACAACGGGACAAATGTATGCAGGGCCTTTCCCGTTTTGATAAAGGGTCAACATGTCTCAAAATAAGGGTCCATTTTACCTTTGTGGTAGTTTATTTAAATCACTTCTTTACACACTTTAGGATTGGCTACTGAAGGGTCTGGGAATTAACTCCGAATTCTTACTTAAGATAATGTTGTTTTAAATACAACACAATATTTAGATTTAGTTATAATGCGACAATGTTGGAGAGACGGGCTGCGTGTTCCAAATAATCACACTCAGCGTGGTAAGCGATCGCAATTGCTTGCAGTGCCTCGGGCGCGTACAAATTTACTCAGAAAAACGCGTGTCTTGCGCACCCTGAATGTTATTACATGCGAGACGGATATTTAGTTGCACACTGACTGAATTCACAAGAATTGCATTATTTATAATTAGTTATATAAGGTGTAGGATTTTGTTTCTTTTTGTTTTGTTTATACAGTCAAAACCGTTTACGACGACATGGTTTAGAACAACATACCGATTATATTGACCAAAATCAAAGGTCCCGGCTGAATTCTATGTATTAGGTACTTAATAAAAACGTCATCGGCTATCGGTTTTTACGACCAAATATGAGTAGTCATTTCGATGTCTTTATAACAGATTTTGACTGTATTATGTTTTTAGTTTAATTTTTATATTAATTACTTTTCTATTGTATTAGTATTAAGTTACTGTAAAAATAGGAAATAAATAAATTTAAACCATATCAAGATAAATGGTGGCCGAGTTTTAAGCGCGCGGCTCTCATGCCTTGCTGGATTTCTGGGAATGGTGAAGGAAAATATCGCGAGGAAACTGAAATGTCCGTCCCAATAATCGACGAAGCGTGTGGGTCACGGATGTTCACGTATTAAGGACAATATCTTTCTTTAAACACCTGGAAAAACAAAATCTTTTTTTTTTTTATTTATCTACTTCTTAACAATTATTCTTAATTTTAGCTTTTAATTTTATTTTATTTACTATACACCTTTACACAAGACTTCATTTCTTACGCTGCTAACTTTTACTAATATTATTATTATTATTTTCTACTAAGTATTATTAAATTCCTTTTCTTTCTTTTTTTGCGACTGAGTGTTGTGGTTTTGCTGGCCCTGGCTCAGCATTATGCTGTGGAGCAGTAACGAATTCCTATAATCCTCGATACTGAATCCGGTCGTAAATAATAAGATTATGGTCTGTCTTTGTACCTGCAAAAGAGACATTGATAAATTATCCGGATTCGGTCACATTGTCAGCAGATTACCCCAGCAGCGCATTAATATCATTGACAAGGGCAAGATGACCTGTTCGATAGTTCAAAACTATCCGTGATTTATTGTACATTTAACGGACGTAATGACAGATTAATAGCCCTTCCTTAACTTTGTTTATAGTTCATGCTGGCCTTACATGTTTGTGTACGTGAATTTGGCTTTTTCTAAGTCGAATTGGTTCGGAAATACTTCAGTGGGCAGCTGGTTCCACATAGTGGTGGTGCGACAAAAACTTCCTTATGAAACGCTCAGTTGGAACGACGGACGTCGAGGTGATCCGGATGGTATTTTGTATTCTGCCTAACGTCCGATAATGAAACTTAGCTGCAGGTATTAGTCCGAACAACTCCTCTGAACACTCTCGATGGTAAATGCGGTCGAAGATGCAGAGAGATCCCAGATCTTTACGCAATGCGAAGAGATCAAGCCGCACGAAAAGTGAATGGTCGTTGACGATGGAATTGAGATGTATATGTACATTTGAGTGTGATAAGTTCTGTTATAAATTTTCGAATTGGAATAGGGGTTGGAATTAATTTAACATTTACTTCAGAATGTTTAAGATAATATTATATTTCATTTAAATATTAATTTATACGTTCAATTCCAATAATTCTAAGCCGTCCATCACTTAAAAACATATAACTCAAACTTCTGATATGATCTTTGATCAACTAGTTGTAAGTTCTGTATTCCTAGAGCTTAACTAAGTATGTCTCTTTTTATCAAAGTTTGAAGACAATTGACCAGGACATAAAAGAGTACTTCAGTTATACCATGTTTTACGACATATTTTTGAAGTAACAAAAAAAGTGAATATAATATTTTTGAGACATGAATTAAGACAATTTTCTTGCCCATAATTCGGTAAATAAAACAAACTTCGGAAGCAATTTGATCCGCAATTCGTTGAAATTAAAAGCGGAAGTTGTTTAGATTGAAAGGAATCGACGATTAGAATACTCCCAGTTAATTAACTCTCGAGTTTTTCTCATTTTAATTCGTTAATGGGAATCTCAAGTCGTTTAATTTTTTTATTAAAGGCTTTATACACATTAATTTATATAAAGTGGCTTAGTTTATACACTTTAAGCCTAAGGACACATTTTCAAAACTGATTAAACCCTTTAGGCACGTTTTATAATAAGTATTCTCTTTGAATACTACTCTTAAAATTAGCTTTTTACACCGTAAATTTATTTAAGTAATCTTCAAAGCGTTTCATCATCAAAGAGGCTCAGTGGTACCAGCGTACAAAGGTGTTTCATATGTCAAACATAATATGTGTAAAATTAAGTAAAGATCTATTATGCGTATTAAATTTGTGCCGCATCGATACAAGATCTAATACCTAAAACTCCAGAACAGATCTTCATAATACAGCTAAAATCATTTTTGTCACAACATCTTTTTTAGAAAACCCGCATTTTAATCGGCCTATTTGTTAAGAAGCTACAATGCAACAGATACGTCAAATATATCGTACTGTTTTTCGTTGGCGGTTAAGAAAACATATTTGAGATATTGGAGATATTTTACCATGGAGAGTGTTCAGAGGAGGAGTTGTTCGGAAAAATACCTGCAGCTTAGTTTCATCATCGGACGTCGAGACAGAATACGAAATTCCACCCGTATCACCTCGACGTCCGTCGTTCCAGAACTGAGCGTTTTTACGATATCGATAACGAGATATTATTACTTAATTTACATAGCTTAAGTATATTTACTAGGATTACGAAGCACTCATATCAAGTATATAAATATCGTAATAAAATCCCGTCTATTACATGTAAGGTTTATTTAAATGTGTAGTACTCGCGCAAACCAAACAATGTTATTTGACAAAATTGAATGAGTCACGAAGCTAAAAATGCTTTTACAAGTGTATTTGTTAACAACTGTAGGGCCAAATGTATTTTTATTATGTTTTAACTTATTTTTAATCTTAATAATAATAATAATCTATAAAATAATATCATTAATATTTTTATTTAAAAAAAAATTATCTATATCAGCTTGTATTACTTTATTAATATCACGTTTTATAAGTTCTAAAACCACGTGTATGCATAAAATTATAGAAGAAAATAAAATATTAAATATATATATATATATATATATATACACAAAAATACACATACACATCAATTCAATTAGAAAATAAGCGATCTAGCAAGAATATATATAAAGAATATAATATCTTTGTATACTAAAGAAGATTTATTTGCAAGGGAAAAAAAATAAACAAGCAACCACAAAAAAATATAAATATAAAAAAAGGATCTTAAATTAAGTATGAATATGGAACATATACCAACGCTCTTGTGTTGGTAATGAACCGGCTCTTCATGTGTTGAAGGATTTAATTATTATATCTTTACAGGACGGGAAAGCTTCATTATCCGACGGATGTGTGTGGTCCATTGTTTGAAGAGGAACTGGAGTTTTGGGGCTTGGATGCGAACCAGGTGGAGCCTTGTTGCTGGATGACGTATACGCAGGTATTTACATTGTTTAATTTTCTCTATAAATCAAAAGAAACTACTACGTTTATGATTTTTTTACTTTCTACTTTTTTAGTAGCTACATACCAACATATCGAACATTTTCTGCTACTAATTTCTTTATTGACGTTCATAAGTGTACATTGTGTTACCTATATATATATAAAATATGATTTTGAAGTTGAATTTATATTCAAAGCAGTACTTCTTACGAGTTCAGCAAAATGCATATATCAACTATATAATATTAAAAAAACAAAGTATTGATTATATTCCAAGAAACGACGAAGAACATCGACGCCTTTCGACGTGACAACGTCTTATAATTCGATGGAGCCGGCTGCACGCACGAAAAAACATGACGCATACGGCGTTACCTCGCTCTGAGGCGTTCCATTTAAAGCTTGAAGTGCAAGCTAGAGCGCGGAACAAGCGACAAAGAGGCACTATCGGCGACCGCGTTCGGCAGCGTTCGTTCGTTTAAAAAATGGACATTATTGTATTTATGCGTACAAATAAATGTAACTTGATCTATTCAATTGTGATTTCCATTTATCTCCTTCTCTTTATCCAAACAAAATATCTTTTAATGAAATAAATTTTCTTTTGAAAAATTTTAATTTCTTTGCAACCATTCCATCAGCATTTTCTTATAACGTTATCACGTTCAACTATCGTCAGTAAACCGACTTTACAGACAACCGATTTTTTTTCCGAACATTAAATATCAGGTAAATATAAAATATAATTTTAGTTAAGACAGACTTTACAAACTAAAATCCATAAAAAGTCTCCATAGCCTAGAGCCAGACAAAGCTCGAAGACAGCAACGCATCTTATATTTTATTTCCAAGTATTAAAAATAGAATCGTTTTGTGTCGCGCAAAAGTCGATTTAAAATGTGCCTGGAGGTCTTGAGACTGCGTAGTCTAAGTTTTTAAACAACATCTCGTGACGGCTTTGTGTTTTTACGAGCTGTCTCTCGTGACTTCGTCTGCGTTATATGCGATAAAGGCGGTACTATTGTGATGATATTAATCAAACTTGTTTGTTTTATAAGTAAGGACGAAATGTCTAAACGTTAATTGTTTTTTTAATTACTTATCAGAGACTACAAACGTCTGTTATATTTTCTCTCTATATCTATATCTGTGTAAAAGTATACGTAATGACTATAAAAAAACTATGAATTTCATAGTAAATTCAAAATTCAATATCTATGTTATAAAAATGTTAGTTTTTGTTTTGTATACAAAAACATATATATATATGTATATAGTATATATAATAAAAATGTCCTAGATATGTCGTCACTCCATCGATCTGGACATCGTAGCGGGTTTAGTGGGCGTCATGTGGATAATTATCGTACAATATTAAATTTAGATTGATCCCTTTTAACATTACAAATTACACTTTGAATTATCATTCTTAAAAGTAATAGAAGGAATCTCAATTATTAACCAAAGTAACAATACGACTATATAAGACTCGATCAGAACATTTCCTCATAATCCGAGCATTCCCCGACACACATATATAATATATATATATATATAATTATATATATGTGTAACTTTTAGACAATATCTATGCACCATGCCTTATAATTTTCTATAGAATACTTTTCAGCTTCTATATATTATATAGAACGAAATAAAAGCCCTTAATCAATGGAACAGCACTTACAACTATGTCCATTATGTACGGAATTCTCAGAGGTTGTCATCCACAGCCCGGAATTTAGATTGGTTATAAATACACGACAAGCCAAGATGTCATATATATTACGATAAAATTGGGAATGTTCTTGCAATGTGTAATGATATATTTATTTACTAACACTTCGTGGCATACAGAAATATAATACAATTGATATAATTAAATGAAAAGGAAGGTAACTGGCGGCCTTATCGCTTTCGAGTAAACTCTTTCAGGCAACCACTGTGAGATTTAAAAAAATTAAATAAGGTAAGCAAGAAGTGAAATAAGACATATAGTAGTTATTTAGGCACAACGAATGGAACAAAACAAAGCAATTAAGCAAGTAAAGGACAATATTAAAAAAAGTGCACATGAAAAGAAAAAAGTGCACATGAAAAAGAAAAAAGTGCACATGAAAAAGAAAAAGTACACATAAATCACGATAATTTTAGTTGTATGGAAGTTACGATGGAAAGGATACGATGTGGACAGGTAATGTTTGTACAGAAGAGATTTAAAGGAAGATAGAGAAGGAGGTAAACGAGTAGGGACGGGAAGTGAATTCCGTACCCTCACTGCAGAGACTTTAAAGGATTCGTCAAGAAAAGAAAAGTTATAAGATGGGATATATATGTAGAATCTACATCTACATTGTAGATAATTTAATACAAAGTGGTTTTATAGGGCACTATGAATAAATCTTTATTTTTTTACACAAATGATAGCTCCGTTTCTTACTTTTCAAATTTTAAGATTTTTAACCATATTTAATGTAACGTAAATTTTTACAATAAGGACAAAAGAAATGAATAAATGTCGTCGACTTATAAGCCCTCTCCAGCGAATAAAATTGTTAATGTTTTTGCGTTGCCCAGAAGCTACGCAATTACTTGCAACCAATTCCATGCCGTAGCACATACTCAATGGAGCGTCTATGCCGTAGATCATTGTTGCCTACGACACGTACGTACGTTTACTTTGTTGAATACTTTTTATTATAGTCGACGCATTATGAACTGAGGCTTCAGGGCGTAAATCATATTTATCTGTCTGTCTCGCTCGCACTTGGAGAGTTGTAGTGATTTGTAGAGGTGCATATCGATAGCGGGATAGGTACGATCGATATGCTAAATTATATTTGTAAGATAAAATGTTTGTTTCGATGTAATCATAGAGAAACTGTATAGATCGTAATGTGGCCCTGAAAATGATCGTTTTTAAAATGGCTGCAATAGAAAAACAACAACCCTTACTCGTAACGACCACTCAGGACTCAGAGTGCGTGTGCAGGTAGCTAAGTATCGATAATGGATTGCATTGCGTGCACATTCCTACTGTCAGTGACATTTATTGCCCGACGACTCAGTTTAAAATGCATTGACTTTAGTTGTAAATATAAAATTATGTATATACAACTTCTGTAGCTTACGCTTAGGTTTCCTAGAAAAGTGGTGCCGTTAACTAACGGCCGTCATTTTACGGTTGTTAAGCTTAGGTTTCCTAGAAAAGCGGTGTCGTTAAGTACAACCGTAAAATAACGGCCGTCTTTACTTTTTAACATAATGCAAAAGAACAATCATTTTCGCTCCAAGTCACGTTTCCACTCATTGTATTAATTAAATATGGGCACCGCTACACTCGAAAAACGTTGAACTAATGTTTATCACCGCTATGACGGCCGTCATACAAATGACAGCACCGCTATTTGACGTTACGGTGACACTCAACGTTCTCTAGGAAACCTACTTCGATGTTATTTATAGACAACGTATGGGTGACGTCACCCAACGTTACATTACGGCCGTTAGATAACGGTACCGGTTTTCTAGGAAACCGTAGCTTTAGTCATGAACGCTGGACCTGAGTTCAATTTTAGACAGTCTGCTTCAATTTAGCTGTACCCTTGAATTGTCATGAATCTTCAGGCAATGACATAAAAATATTTACTGCGCTGAAAAGCTAATGCTTGGTAGCGTATGGTTTTTTAAATTAAATAACAAATAAAACCAAAAATCCATACTCCTTGCCCAATATCACAACTACAGTTTATCTTATTTTAAATTTAGTCAAAGTCAAAGTCAATAATCATTTATTCATTTACAATTTACACTTATGAACGTCAAAAAATAAATATACATTAAATTCTTCTAATTTTACATTTACTGCCAGTTTTCAAATCAAGGGCGTAGAACGGAAGAGAAGAACTGGCAATAAACTCGCCGCCACTCTTTTTAATCGCCAAGTTTTTGTTTTACACAATGTTTGTAAGGAGCTGCAACCATTACATCATGTTCCACATGACATCTTAAGTAATAAATAATAATAACATAAATTAAAAACAAAGTTTTGTCCGCCATCAGCATGGCATGGTGAAATAGGACTAGTTACTTCTAAGTTACATTTACACGAGCAAAGCAATTTAAATGAAAACAATGTGAATTAAATATTACCACCCTATTTTTGCTCCACCCTTCAATACCTTCCTATCAATAAGGGGGATATTAGCCCGATCGAGATGGTGAACTATGCATGCGATGTTGAGCTGCTAGTTCGATTAATAAAGGAACTCGTTTGGTCCTCATAAAATACCTCGTAAGTATTGATTTCGTGACTCTTGTTAGGGCTGGCCATTTTAATTTATGAGTATTATGTCACTTTTCAAATATCCAAAAGTACTGAAGATATTAAATGGAAAATATATCATGATATATCATGAGCCGGCGAATCACTCTCTTACCATTTTATTAGCCAAGATATCCTCTGTACCAGTAAATACAGACGTACGTCATATCTGCTTTACTCCAGACAGTCTGCTAACGAAAGAGCCGTATGAGGTACCCGAGGTGAGATCTCCTTCGGTAGATTACCTTGCTGTGACTTTTGCATTCTACTAGAACCTCAGCGGATCACCTATTTGCCTAGCTATCAGTGTACCGCCCATTATTACTTATAATATAAATTATTGGCAACAAATGAGTTACATAAACAAAGTTACAAATGATTCTGCAGTGTTCCTGTTATTGTATATTATTTCATGGCATGATTAAAATTGCAAAATAATAAATCTTTTTAACTTCCATATACTGCAGAAGACTTTTCATTCCACATATAAAGCTTTATAGAAAATCTTCTGATACTATTGTTGATATTGAAAACTTTACAGTTGAAAATTCTATTTTTACTTTTCCTTTTTATTGTTAAAATTTTCACTATTTTCCTTTTCTCAGTTTTAACTTACCTGAGCTGGTGGCATAGTACTTTGACTCATTCAAAAGTGTAAATGATTTATAATAAAGTCTACTTTGACTTTAGCTTAATCATTAAATAATAAGTACAAAAAACTTAAAGATAATGCTTCTGTCCTCCGTTTAATATGAGATACCTTATGCCCATTTAAAAGTCACCTACTTACCGTACATTGATCTGTAATTAATAAGTATTGCAGCCTTTTCCAACAAAAAAATCGAGGCTTTGATATAGATAGTCAATATCGAGAGTTATTATGAAGGCCTCGTTCAAAAAGAATTTGCAAAAAGTACGAAGCCTACAAAAACTTTGTACTACAACCTTTTTTTCATTGGCTGAGAAATTTCGTCATTTATATTGTCCATTTTTTAAAATTAATTATGTTAGTAATGAACCGTTTAAGCAAGCAACGTACTAGTATTTCTGGTCTAACTCAATAATGTTTACTTTGAGATAAAATCACACAGATAGCACAGAACTAAAATCGTAATCACCAGTCACAGATATATAAGTTTTCAAATTATAGTTGTACTGAAAATAACAATAAAAATATTTCAATTAAATGAAAGTATGTTATTATTATACAAATTTAATAATCTTAATTTATAACAACACTTATTATGATTCCACCCGTATCACCTCGACGTTCGTCGATCCACAACTGAGCTTTTTTAAGGCAGTTCTTGCCGCTCACCACCACTATGTGGAACCAGTTGCCCATTGAAGTATTTCCGAACCAATTCGACTTAGGGTCCTTCAAGAAAAGAGCGTACCAATTCTTAAAAGGCCGGCAATGCACTCCCGAGCCCTCTGGCAATGAGAGTGTCGATAGGCGGCGGTATCACTTCATATCAGGTCAGCCCCCAGCCCATTTGCCCGTTCTTTAAAAAAAATTAAAGCAGTAAAACCCACAAACTTTATGTACGTTTTTTTACGTATCATCGATTTTTGTCGGAAGCCTTTGATGATTTCTAATGTTTTATAAAAATTTACTGAAATATTATTATTGTTGAAGAGGTCGCAAAACCTCTTGCTAATACACGAAATCCACGCGGGCGAAGTTGCCTATAGAAGTGTACATATTTTAGTGAAACCTTATATGTATTCAATTTGTTATTATAAACTGCTAAGTAGCAGCCCTAACTTCGAGCCTGGAGTTTCATACAGTGAGCAATTATGCAACGCCGCTTAACGTACGCTTCGATTACTTTGTTAAATATTAAAGCTTTTATCGAAAATTATTACATTTTTATTTATTCAGCGTTTTAATTAACGATGAATATAACGATACAATTACTTTATACGAATTTTGAAAGTTGATTTGATTTATAATTCAAATAGTGCCTGATTTGACAAATGGCGTATTGCGTATCTAATATATAAAATTCTCGTATCACAATGTTCTTAAATACTCCTCCGAAACGGCTCGACCGATTCTTATGATTTTTTTATGCATATTCAGTAAGTCTGCTACTATCTATCTTTCAAACCCCTAAGTGAGATGGGGTGTCCACCCCAATTTTTTTCAATTTTTTGGATAAAATTTATTTTTTTATGATACAACATATTAAAATACATACAACCCTTAATTTTCACCACTCTATGCTCAACCCCTATTTTTAATTTGTTAAGTTAAAACTTATGACTTGATCTCAGAGGTTTATTTATATAGAGAAAAGTTCACAGAAAACCTAAAAGTATGTACAAAATAGGAGGCTAAGTAAAATCACATTAAGGAGAAATGAAGTTCGCGGGGGTAGCTAGTTATTATATAGATCTAACAATGTCTGCCAACATTGGCACAAAATTAAATTGTGAACGAATTTCAAATAAATTTGAGACTAGAATATTGTAAGGAAACTTGATAATGTCTGAAACGAATGAAATTAACTTTTGTTATATTCGAGCTTATTTCAATCAAAGTATTTAGTTTTTATTTACCTAAAAGAATTATATAATCTTTAAAGTATATTAAGTATAATATAAAGAGTGCGAATGAAGAAGATAATTGTAATTACAAACGCTTTGGACCATAAAGCATCTAATTATTACTATATTACCATTCATTCTGATATTACCTATCATTGTTATTCTTAGCACAGTACAACTTTTAATATCACGATATAAACGAAAAACTGACTTTGTATTCTGTAAATGTTAATGATAGAGTTAAGTAATTTGCTGAATAAACAAAACAAATTATGTATCTGTTTCATGATCATTAGTTTTTTTTTTCAAATAGGCAAGTGGGGATGAGCCTTCTGGCCACACCACCTTTACACCGGATTTCCTCACGATATTTTCCTTCACCGTACGTAACTCGGTCGGTGTTTTAATTGTGTACATCGAAATTGAAGTCCAATTTTTTGAACTGACAACCCCAGGGATTAGAGTCGCATGCTGAACCCACTATATATATATATATTATAATAAGACCATTAAGACCGTTGTGGATTCATAAAAATATATGAAAGGAATAAAATGTTTTATTACCTCATATTGAGTCTTCATGAGATCCCAATTATTATAATATGAAACATGAAATATTATTGAATGTAATAAAATTCATTGGAATAAATTCTCCATGATATAAAATATTCGTATTAAAGAGGCAGTATTGAGTAGGTAAAAAATCAGTTAATAACTTTATTATTTTCTATTTTAAAGGTGCAGTTCAGTGTCTATCCGAGACACCTTCAGTTCAAAAATAAATCAGTGGCGCTACAAACCTTTTTTTTTGTTCTGGGTCTCAGATTTCTGTACCTCTTTCATGATCATTTGTCAATCTAATAGGTGATCAGCCTCCTGTGCCTACACGCCGTCGACTTTTTGGGTCTAATGCAAGCCGGTTTCCTCACGATTTTTTACTTCACCGTTCGATGCGCACAAGAAAGAAAGTCCATTTGTGCACAGCCGAGGATCGAACCTACTACGAGGAACGAACCTTAAAAAAGCGAATCCTTTAATCATATACCTTGCCTTAGAAACCTCCAGCCTTAAAAATGTTTCGATTTGTTCGATGTTCAATTTGTAATGTTACTTTTATTTTTCTAGCACCGAGATACTCAAGAAACCCTGGCAGTGCTGGATCGCCTGGACCTGGATACGGAGAAACCGTCTGATGAGGAGGTGGCCCGCAAGTTTGGCTTCGAAGAAGCCTACTACAATGGGACAGTGTCATGGTGGCAGCAGCTAAAGCCCCAAATGTGGTCTTTGTTTGATGAACCGTATAGTTCTAATGCTGCTAAGGTGAGAATCTGATGGTGAACAATGAAGTTGGAATAATCCCCGTTCTATCTTTTGGAATCAGAGTCTAAGATTTGTAGAAAATATTCATGAATTTCTGGCCATTTACCACAAAAAAGTAATAACAGTAAAAATTTTAATACTACCCTGTCAGGACTTAGCTTGCAATAAAGCCTCATTACGAAATATTGTTAAATATACTCCAAAAAATAACGGTCATAATCCTTTGATAGTCAAATTTGACGGACCTTTATAATTCAAATTAATGTTAATTAAATTATTTTACACCCAGAGGAAGGCTTACTCTTGTTTAACGATGGCTTAAACCTTTTTTAAGGCAATTAAATTCGCCCCCCTGACCTACAAGCGGGTTTTGAATTAAAGATTAGTTTGCCTCCGTTGAATATATTTTGCTTCACATATTTTCTGTTCTTTTCTTGTTTCGTTTGTTCTTGTCATATCATTATAGTGTATGTTGTTTGTTTGAAGATCGTCTAACGGGGCACCGGCACATCCTGCTCTATTTCATAGATATTTTTGTATCTACCTACCGATGATTTTCAAACCTAGCCTCCAAGTTAAATACGACATATGCATATGTATATATACAAATAGTGTCTTGGTATTCACAAATAGGGTTGTAGAACTAATTTGAGTGTACGACTCCAGAAAATTATATGGAAATTGTATTGGTTTTTACAACAAACTCCTAAGCGAAATTAGAGAATTATCACAAAATAAATTCAAAGCCCTCGTTAAACGTAAATTAATCAATAAAGCTTTTTATAAATTTGACGAATATTTAAATGATCCTAATCCTTGGGATTGATTTGCTCCAGTTCAAACAATTTGTATGACTCAAAACTTAGCGATTAAAAAGAGTGGCGGAAAGTTTCTTGCCAGTTCTTCTTGCCCGCTCTACGCCCTTGACTTGCAAACTGGTAGTAAATGTAAATTTACAATTCATTTAACTTTTTTTTTGACGTTCATAAGTGTACTTGTTTGCCTTAAATAAATAAAGATATTTTGAGTTTGAGTTTAGAGTTATATATATTCAAACAATTATCAGTTATTATAGTACTTGTAGCAAATATGCTTCGTTTTGCAATAAATTTTATGGCTCTAGTATAAAATATACATTTCTTATAATACCTATCTGCTCAATATTCATCTCAGTAATAAAACATTTCAGAACTCCTACGCTATTTACGAGAAATGTAAATTATTTACTAGTTCATTTATTTTCAGGTAAATTTACGAGAACTTACCTGATTATGATGTTAAATTCTAACATGATATTGATAAGCTTTATCTTTTATTTCTTATATATTTACAATAAAGTATACAGTATTCACAATTTTCTTAACCTACAAAGTAATAATAAAAATTATTAAAAAGAAAATTAAAACAAATTTTAAAAAGTTTGGTCCCTGTGGCAGTGTACGTTTACGCTGGCAGCATATCCTCGCTGTACTGCGATACTTATTCGTTGACCCAGGAACGATCGTTAACTTATTTTTCTTTTCAGATAATCGGTGTGATATCGGTATTCTTCATCTGCGTATCCATCATATCGTTCTGTCTCAAGACTCACCCGGATATGAGAGTTCCAGTGATAAGGAACTATTCTGTTACGACCGCTAACCAATCGCCAAGCTGGGCGTTGGATAAAGTGCAGACGAATGCACACGTCGCGTTCTTCTACATTGAGTGTGTGTGCAACGCGTGGTTCACCCTCGAGATCCTAGTTCGCTTCATATCCAGTCCAAACAAGTGTGAATTCATCAAATCCTCCGTCAACATCATCGACTACATCGCTACAATGAGTTTCTACATCGACCTCATTCTCCAGAAGTACGCGTCACATGTGGAGAACGCTGACATCCTGGAGTTCTTTTCCATCATTCGTATCATGAGACTATTTAAATTGACCAGGCATTCGTCTGGTCTGAAGATTCTTATACAGACATTCAGAGCATCAGCGAAGGAGCTGACTCTGCTAGTGTTTTTCTTAGTGCTTGGTATAGTGATATTCGCAAGTTTGGTGTATTACGCTGAGAGAATTCAAACGAATCCCCATAATGACTTCAATAGTATACCCCTCGGTTTGTGGTGGGCGCTGGTTACCATGACAACGGTCGGGTATGGAGATATGGCTCCGAAGACTTATGTTGGAATGTTTGTTGGTGCTTTATGCGCCTTGGCTGGTGTGAGTATATATTTGTTTACAGTACAATTCCAAGTCATTACATTCATTTTGTATCTATATCATATCGAACATTAGTTTTTGGTTTGTCTTGCTTAAAAACTACTGAGTGGTATTTTAATCTATTTGTTATTTTTTGAAATATTTGTTTTTTTTTTTATTTATTTGTTGAAATTGAGTGTATAGAATTTAAATATCCTATATTTTCGTTTTGCCTGGTAACTTATATATATATAGGTACATCTTATTTTCCAGTAATTAATATATAAATCTGTGTAATTAGTTTTATTTTAAATTAAAAATTACAATTTTTAATTTTTACCTTAGTGTATTTAGTATATTTAAGAGACATTTTCGCGGAGAGCCTCGCCTTTACCGAGAAGTTTTTACTCATCAATTGGTTTTTAACTGACTTTTTAGATTTATTTAGTTATAAAGCGATATTTTTCATATCTGATATGTACATCAAGTTCCAAAAACCAACTCAATTGCAATGCAATTTTAACGTTCATTTAAATGTAATTAGTAAAATATACACAGTTTTATTAAGCAAAATTATCATATAATAATAATAATTGTTTGTTCAGGTACTAACAATTGCTCTACCAGTACCCGTAATAGTATCCAATTTCGCAATGTACTATTCGCACACACAAGCAAGGGCGAAACTGCCGAAGAAGAGGCGAAGAGTCATCAATGTAGAGCCTACCAGACCGCCGATGCGTAAGTATTATTTTACAATATTTCATTCATTTTTTTTTATGTAATAGGAGACAAACGGGCTAACCTGATGTTTAGTGACATGGAAGTGAGTACATTGCCAGAAGGCTCGCAAATGCGTTGCCAGCCGTACAAGAATTGGTACGCTCTTTTCTTGAAGAACCCTAAGTCGAATTGGTTTGTAAATACTTCAGTGGGCAGCTGGTTCCACAAAGTGGTGGTGCGCGGCAAAAACTGCCTTGAAAAACGCTCAGTTGTGGAATGACGGACGTCGAGGTGATACAGATGGTATTTTGTATTCTGGCTTGACGTCTGATAATAATCATGGTATTAAAATAATTCATGGTGACCTTTATAGTTAAATAAGCCTTTTATAAAAATAATAATAAAATACAATGTTACATTTAGATCTAATCGATCTATCATAAAAATCCGCACAATCAGCCATTCAAAAGTGGGCCGGCAGATGTCATATTAATTTTCATGTCATAATAAGAACTGTAACAAATTGTCATATTAATAAGTTGAGTTATGTAAATTATTATCAAACTTATGGTCTAAATACTCGCCCACGCTATAAAGGCACCTCGTCATTATAGTTATTTTGTATGTATATGTGTGTGTGTTTTTATTAGTAATCAATTTTATGTATGTATGTTAATGGGATTTACTACGGAAGAACAAGAAGGTTAAATTACCCTCGACCCGTTCGTAAGCTAACAAAGCAACATTGTCAGGACGATCACGTTTTACGAGCGTATAATTATGACGTTATTAGAAACATTGTGAAAAGGAAATTCCTTGAAACGTAATAATTAATTCAGAGGGTGCCCTATCCCTTAGTACGCGTACAGCATTAATCTCCTTCACAGAGATTGTTCTTATAGAGGCGATTTTTTGAGTTTATAATATGATGGCGCTGCAACTTTTTTAGGTCTGGTTCTCAGATTTCTGTATCTGATGGTTTGTCAATCTAATAGGCTTTCTGGGTCTAAGACAAGATTGCCTCATGTTAACTTCACCGTTCGAGCGAATGTTAAAAGTGCACATAGACAGAAAGTCCATTGGTGCACAGCCGGGGATTGAGCCTACGACCTCAGGGATGAGAGTCGCACGGTGAAGCCACTAGGCTAACACTGCTTTTAACTATACAGCTTGACGTATTCTTTTATGTTATCAAATATAGTCCACAATCTTAAGATACAAAACAGAAAGATGGATCAATTTTGATCAAAATCGGTTAAAATATTCAAGAAACTTTTATGATGCGGACTTTCAATCACTCTGAGGTAAATAATGTTATTATTATTGTTTACAAGTGCATATTTTAAAAAATCTTTTAAATTTATTAAAACTTCTTTTTGTATTGTTATTTACATAATAGCATGGTCTCATGCCTTGAAAGATAAATATTCAGAGCAAATTGGTAATACAGACATAAAATCGAAGACCGATAGCCTACTTAGGTACTAAAATATTATGTCTGCCTCATGCCCCATAACATTAAGTATAAATTATCAAATAACTTGTACATATTTTATATAAGTTATTAATAAGCCTCTTGAAACAGAAATATTCCAGTTTTAAGCACTTCATAGCGCTTCGAAACTTTCGTTTTAATCTGAAGATCTCCACCTATTGAAGTGAAATATTTTAAGGGCACTTAAACTTCTTCGAAGATTTATTTTATCTTTTAAGATTTAAACAAAAGTTAAGGTGAAGTTTTTTAAGTTGGATTTTATTATTTATAAGTAAACGAACAACGTTGTTTTATCTGAAAACGCAGGATGTTTTAGATTTTAGAAGCTTAATTATTTAGCATACACCCAGCGGTACTGCCTTTTATGATTGGTCCCACAGGGCTTTTGTTATCTTGACACGTAAGTTGTTCGGTACCTATATTTTTTAGTCAAGACATAACGCTTTCTCTATGATACCGTACGAGTTAATATTAATTGCGCAATTAAAATAATTGCAGTACAGTCGGAGTTTGAACGAACGAAATAATTGCACTATAAACCACAAGACACAGACTTAGGAAAAATACTATAATACTTATTAAAATATTAGCAATAGACAATAATTCAGAATTCAGGAATCACTCGTAAGTTCATGCTTTCAACTTTAAAAAAGACGGGTTTCCAAACAGTTTTCACGGGGCAAACGGACAGGAGGCTGCCCTGATGTTAAGTGATACCGCCCATAACCACTCACACTGCCAAAGGGCTCGCAAATGCGTTGCCGGCCTTTTATGAATTGGTACGCTCTTTTTTTAAAGGAACCTAAGTCGAATTGGTTCGGAAATATATTAGTGGGCAGCTGGTAACAAAATAGTGGTAGTGCGCGGCAAAACTGCCTTAAAAACACTTGAACGGAGGTCTGGGTGATATGGATAGAATTTCGTATTCTGCCTCGACGTCCAATGATGTAATGTGGAAGATGGCATTAAAATACATCCATAATTTCATTTATCTAACTGTTGTTTATAATAATTAGGTGCACCAGGAGCCCCAGGTGCCCCAGCAGGTCCAATGGCTCCAGGGATGGGCCCTCAGGCCGTGAACAGAAGAATGAATGCAATCAAAACTAATCATCCTAAAGATATGATGGGACCGAATATGGGTACGTATTTTATGTATTACTCCACATTATGCATTTGTACATTTGTTGAACAATAAAGGTACTTTGATAAAAAGGATATAAAATTAATATTTATTTAATAAGCTAGTATATTTCTAACTTTAACTAACTGATCGTTGTTAGTTAATAATTAAAGCGATAAGTGTTAAGGAAGAAGGAACGTGTTATTGGTTTTAGAAATATTATTATTAAAAACAGACATTATTTTTAAAGAACAGAAGCAAATGGCAAATGGTCTACTGTATTATAAATCTAACATTTCCCATTAAAGTTAATAAATTGTACCATTATTTTTGTTAAATAAATTGTTTGGTTTCATCATAATACATATTAATTTAAAGAACTAACTATTCTATTGAAATTACTTATAAGTAATTAATAGTGTGTTTTAAAATAAATATATCCTCAAATATTTAATTTTAAAACACACTATTACTAAAATGTATCTGTTGTTCGGAGACATTAGAACTTTAATTGGCAAATTCAATTTATATAGAAGCAATATGTAAATACAGCACCGAATTAATAATTTATTACATAGTACCCACTTAAAAGCTTAGCATTGTATATAAGATATTGTCTCTAGTACGACAGATAAAATTAACATTCCACTAACAGCTTATGCGATGTAACCCTCCACAGATGGTGATCGTAGCGAACTAGAGGCTATGATTCAAACAACACCAAACAACTGCAAAAGAAAAAATCTTAACATGCTTTAAGCTCCGGAAATGGGCTTAATATTACGCCTATACGGAGTCACTAACATAATCACATTGCACTTGAAGTAACCAGCAGCCATAGGTCCCATAGATTCTTCGATGAAACACCAAGGTTTGATCCGGCTCTGTTTAGATACACGTTATTGAATTTAAACCGATTTCAAAGCTATTAACTTGAAAGGCTTAAGGTAAAATTAGCAGTCACAGGAACTAACAATACGTAACACAATTTAATATCAATCGTAATTTATTTATATATTATACATTTATATAATATAACTTACGATTGGAAGAAAAAAAAAATTGAAGTCGGAATTAAATTCAAGTATTTGAGAGCTTTGTCATTCATTTCTGTATAAAAAATAATTGAACGTTATTATTGCATTCAAAAGTAACATACAAGTAAAAATGTACAGTAGCATGCATGGTCACAGACTAATTGAGTGAGAATAGGCCGGGAGATAGGGACACAAAATAATTGGTCATTTGTACCAGTACGGCGGGTTTCAGGGGTCTTATTACGTAATGAAAAACAGAAAAAAGATGGTCATAGCGCTGGTACCGGCGCCCCAATCGCGTGGGCGTTAGTCGAACTTGTCGGATTAATTACGGTGTCCAACGATTTGTTCCACAAAAATAGTATTTTCCGATAGTCCATAAAAGAATATAAGAGGCGGCAGTGTCATGCCATACTTCTCCGGTGTGACTTCCAGCCCGCCATACCGACGCGAATAGGAGACTAGCCTAGAAGATATATGTGACAATTGTTAACATCGACTATAGTCGACGCATTATGAACTGAGGCTTCGGGTCATAAATCATATTTATCTGTCTGTCTCGCTCGCACTTACAGGTATGGAGAGATGTAGTGGGCGTAAGAATTGACGAGGTGCATATCGATAGGGATAAGTACTATCGATATGCTAAATTATATTAAGTATTAATAGGAATAATTTTTCGCTATCTGTAAATAAAAATTTTTAATTTGTAAGATAAAATGTTTGTTTCGAAACCAAGTTAGAAAATTAGTTCTCCATTGTACATATTGGGTAATAGTGTAATGTAATATTTTAACAAAAATCTTATATTTATAGAAATACATCGACCCTTACTCGTAACGACCAATCACAAGTCAGAGATACATTCATACTGTCTGTGACATTTATTGACTTTAGTGCCATCCAGTGGTTCAAGTTATAATTTTGATGCAATAATTGCGTTTAATTAATAGGGCTTAATAATATCGTATGCATATTATATAGCATGTTTTCCTTATGTAATGTTTGCACGATATACCCACGTACACCTTTTAGCTAGACGTTTATTTACTTTGACATTTCAGGTAACCAAACATCTATATGCAAATCTACACACCAAGCTACTCTCCCCACTTTGAACACAGCGATACAGAAGTTATAAGTTGCATTATTAATTTAATTATTTTGTACATATGTAAGTCCAAATTCACTTGCGGGTCTAGTGTCAGTAGGTGTTTTAGGAGCCAGTTTTCATTCATCATCAGGTAAGCTTGCTGTGGTTGCAACTTACCTTTATATCGTGTTTTAAACCCCTGTAATTTCTTTTGAAGCTAATTTTATTGTCTTTTTGTCCTATAGCCTTATCGGCTTGATGGATCATTAATGCGAGGTACTACTCGATTTAGTTCCAACTTTTTACCTTCTCTACTTTCAAAACTAGTTTTTGATTTGTAGATGTAAAAATTATTTTGAGAAAATCTTGCATGTATGAAAATTATCGGAGAACTAAAAGTCTATGACTTCTGACTTATCTTCTTTAACCCTTGTAGTCTATTAGCTTAGCTGTCACCATCGCTCATCTGGATATATTGAACTAAATCTGATATAAAAAGAGACATTTTAATATTATATCATTTAAATATTAGTCTTACAATAAAAATTAATATCATAAATCTACAAAGTATTTTTCATTACACTATCTTATAAAACTCTGACAATACTAACATAGTCCTTTGTTTGTGCTATCAGATTATTTTCAAGTTAATTCGATGTAAATTATAAATGAGATTCAAAACTTTTGTTTCATTTATTCCATGTTGAGAATTTCGTTAAACTTACGTCAATTGTTGTCAAATATTAAAGATAACTTCGTAGCGATACCACGAGCAAAGGCATTAAAACTTTCATTTCTATCTGTGTTGTCTTGCTTTAGGATCTGTATTTTAATCAATGTTATTTTGTGTCTACTTCGATTCAATAAATATTCCACACAATACTGAACTATTCTTCTTCCACAGTCGCCAGTCTAATGCCTGGAATGGACTTAACCGTAGCGTCTCGCCTAACACCAGGCCCACGAGACCTCAGCCCAGCCTTAGCCATTGCCATACCACTCATGAAGTCAGTCAACCTGGTTCCAGTACAGTGTTTCGACAACATGGCGTATAACAGTGAGAAATTGGATGTTAAAGAACCTCAAAATTCTATTGAAGATACTGGATATAAAAACGATGATAAAACTGACGTTAAAACCCCATTACTGCGAGATCATAAAATTGAATCGATGGACGAAACGAAATTAAGGGACACTAAGGTGGAGAAACGGAAATCGTCCGCTTCGACGTAACACAATTACGTAATCCGTAATGGTTTGCAAAATTGTGCGAGAATGGATCAAAAAGTATCACGTTCTCGCTACCACGTGCAACAGCTTGCGGACGTGTAGCAAATACTAATAATTCTAAAGCTATGTGCAAACTCCACTATACAAGTTCAAAACTAGTTGAAAGTTTCGGGCTTTGCGGATCTCGGCACAAGGCTTTTAATTTAATGGTGTTAATGAAATAAATTGCGCCCAATTGTTATTAAGCAGCTTACGTTTTAAACACGACCAAATCCTTAATGATAATGACATTTTCCAATGTAATTATGTATTAAATGGTTCCATTGTTTTATTGATAAGTTTAAAAAGAGAACTCTTGAATTAATAAATCGGATGAATTTGTAATTTGATTTTAACTTAAATTACAAAAAGTTTACAACTTTTCTATTAGAATCTCTTAATTATTTACTACGCTTGCTATTTAAACAAATATAAGTTATATTTAATAAGATAGAATGTTATTTTCGACTACAATTATCAAAAATCTCAAACGCAATGATTTCAATCACAATATCTTTTAGCAATTTCACATTTATGTTTTAGGCGGTTTTAAGGTGACTAAAAAAATTTTGGACGACCACAAGTAATTCATGATTGGTCTGACAGCGAAAGGTTGACATGTAGTTTATATACCTCTCTTGTATATCCGTCGAGCGTTCAAATTAAAAAAAAAACCTTTTGTTTTGCAATTTTTTTGATTGGATTCAGAAAAAATCTTTTTAACCAATATTTTTTCTAGATATAGATAGCGTTCGATGGATTCTATGTCTACTAGTTACAATGTATACCTATTCTCAGATTTCTAGCTATAGACTTCCTATAAACGCGCTTCATAGCATACAATCGTAGTTAATATGACCATTATTCATATCTTATAACAGTCCATAATGTAATCTTTAGGTAGGCACATTATAATATCGCGTTGTCGTTATTTAAATTGTTTATAACTTCTAAAACATTTATAATTTTATTTATCTCTGTTCAAAAACATGTTTAAGTTATCTTGTTAGAATTTTATTCAGGAAAAATACATCAGTATAGTTGCACTCTTTTACTAAAGTACTCCTAAAATCTCAAATTGTGTTTACGCTGGGACGAAAAGAGAAACCTCTCTGTAAGAGTGCCTTAGTTTAAAAAAGTGCAATTAGATTATATCTTTTATTAGGAAACAATTTTTACCGTTTTAAGTCAGGATTCTCATCAATTTTTAGCTGTTCATCACATTTAGACCTACACACATTTAGAAAGCGTTCTTCATGTGTTCTGTAAATATTACAATTTTTATATTCGTGTTACAAAACTAGAAACATATCACGTGCACATCTTACTCTTGGTGTATTTTTATATATGTAAATTTAATTGTAGATTAACGTGAATAGAAATGGGGGCACTCTGTCAGTTGCTCTAACTCACTACTCCACTGGTATGACAGATATCATGTGTCAGTTTGACAATTAACTTAAAATTGAATATTCTCTGGTCGTATCTCTTTTTTAGCTTGAAATAACTTAAAATTTGGCCCTATTTCTCTTGTATTAGTAAATACATAATGGTATTTACTGATGATGTAACATAACTTCGATCGGATTATAAATAAAACCGTCAGCAGCCAAGTGCGAATGCTAAAAGTATTTTAGTATTTTTATTTTCTCACCTCAACATAAAAAAGTGAAACAAACGCGAATCTGTTAATTGTCAACTGTCAATAATTGACATCTGTCAAATTGCGAATCAGCACCACCAACGAGTTAGTGAGTTGTCGCAAAAATTCCGATGAGTTCGCCATCTCTACATGAATAAAATACTGTTTTTACCGTTACAACGTATACGTTTCAAGAACAGCATTATATTTAACCAATGTAGATAGTTTTAATAAAATATTTTCTAATAGTTCTCAACCTGTCCATGAATCTGTTAATGTATCTTACCTAAATATTGGATAAATATTTCCACTATAATCAGAGTAAGGGTATTGTCAACTAACACACTCGGTTCGTTATAGGTTCGGCCGTAATCCAACAGTGTCCGAGAACTTGCTAGACGGGAATACCACTCGCGTTGGCCGAGTTCGGGGAGAGTATACGGCTGCCATAATATGACCTTCTCAACTTCACAGGTTTATTAATCGCATAATCTTACTCTGCTTACAGTGTAGACTTTATAAGTACCCTAATAATTCAATGTTACGCATAAAATGCAATAATTATAGTAGATAGCACATTAATTTAATTTATAAAAAAGTATGTATGTAAATATAGTGAGATCTTTTTAATCTAATCATGTTTGTTTTATAAAATCGTAAACCATTTGTGGCCCTACTGATTCAAAAATATTATCGTATCGACTTTACGACTATATCACAAAACAACTGTTGTTTTATTCATGCTAAATTTGATTTAAGATTACGTTTGATTTTTCGCTATGATTAACGAGGAACTGGACATATTGTGCGCTATAGCGAGGCGAATACTGGGAATGGGGCAGAGATGTGAGCGTGTGCGCAACTCGAAGCAATACGGGAATAAAATATTGTGTGGGGATTAACGCGAGTCGAGTAACGTTTCATCATCAATACCGTTACGTTAAGGGCCACGAATGATAGAAAAATGCTTAAATTGTACAAATATCACCACGATTTTGAATATATAACGCGGACCAGTTATGCATACGTATTTATACATTTTCATTATATTTAAGAATTTAGTTTTCTTTCTTTTTTGGAATGCCTTGAATAAGAAATTGTTCTAATGTTCTAGCAACTTCAGCAAAATTATTACAACATCTTTAACTAATTTTGTAAATTAAGATTGAACTGAACAAATATAAATGCTCATTGCATTAAAATGTAAACGAGTAAATAGACTCGGTCATAAGTTAACTAGTTTAGTGATCGAGTCGATCAATTACTATTAATTTGATATACACTATAGAAATTGCGAATTATAGTAATATTCGTGGTAGTCCTTTTATCAGCACCGGTACTCTGTAACTTGAAATAGCTATACGTATCCAGAAATCAATATTGAGCAAACGATGTCAGCGCTAAGGGATCATTCATCATACGAGATTACATAAAAGTTACAACATTCAATTAACTTTGCAATAGGGGTACTATTTCGGGTTATTGAACGGTCAAAATATCTTAGAGAGTTTCTTTTTCAAGGCTATGTAATACTAATGTTTTAAAAAAGTTAATTTTATATCTATTAATATGAAAATTTATACAAGATTAAATATAGCTTGTTAACATTCGCATTTGAACTGTCATCAACGTGTCTCATTTTCTCTTATCAGACAATTTTGGGGTCCTTAGAGTTCATGAGTATCTTTAAACGAAGACAAATCGATTTTATTCTTACGTAAGGTTTTTTTATATTAACGAACTAAAAGGTCCGACTATTTGTAATTGATTTTACAAAAAATAATAGTATAAACACAAATGTACGTAATTCAAAAGTCATTTTGATTTCCTATAATTAAATTTTAACAATTAGCATGGATATATTTTCATTTTCTTAATCAGTAATAATTATTTTATTACTAAGACAACAAAATTTCACAAAACGCTGAGACCTATCTATACCAAGTATTAACATAAGAGCATGTATTTCCGTACGAAAATATATAGTGCCTGTGAGTGTGCCCTTATGCTGGAAGCATTGCCTCGCAATATTGCGATGCTGTGCTGTGCGAGAAAGGCGCCAGCTTTCGGATGCTTGCTACTGTCTAGCACAGTGTTTCCCAAGTTTTTGTGCCATGCCCACTTAAGTCTTTCCAAAATTCTCATGACCTACACATAATAGAATTGTTCACTTGGAAACTTAAATGATAGGTTTGAAAATATTTTTAACGAAGTAAGTAAATTTTCAAAACTTTTAATTAAAAAAAAACGAAAAGCCCCTTAACAATCAAATTGCCACCCTGATCCTGGGAAACACTGGTCTAAATGGTGCACTTGCACTCCATAGCTCCATCTACTTCATGTAATTATTCGAAGTTTCCGAAAGAGTTTTTGATTTTACTTGATTAAATTCGTTGAAAAAATTTATCTACAAGAAAGCCTATTAACTAGGGTCGTTGCAGCACAATTTGTTTATAATCCAAATTCATATTGAAATTCGCCCTCATTGTAAGATACACTGTATAAACCACATTTCGTATTTAACGTTTTAAACATGTATCATCAGTGGCGTAGCTACCAAGGGGCTAGGCGGGGCAGTGCCCCGGGGCCCTCAAGCTCAGGGGGCCCTCGAATCCTCACCAGAAATCTCGATCGTTCTGAACTTTTGGAAATTTCTCCCATTTTCAAAATAAATATGACAGGTTATAACCCCAATTTAATCAAGACATTAATTTGAGAGAAATTCAAAAGTTATGCCTAGAGAATTCCCCTAAATTCTTTCTGTAGGTTGGCAGTGTTGACAATTTGACGGATAGAGATATGTGCATTTTATTATTCATCGATGTGCATTTTATTGTGAATTCGAGTTAAGATTTTTTTTTTGAGAACGGTTAAAAAATTCATGCTGTATCAGGAGTAAGTAAGCTAATGTCAATAAACTTTTTTGCACTGGTCAATATAGTGATTCAATTTTATTTGATTTTACCACTCATATTGATGTCCGGTAAAGTCAATAAATCGTGTCAAATCTAAAGATTTCGGCTACAGCTCATTGTACTGGGTGGCGCAAAAGTACTGGCACTAAAGAAAATTTGTTTATTTTTTTTATATGACATTTCATTTCATTTCATTCTGTTGTTGAAAATTGTGTTGTGAACAAATGTAAAATACGCTGAAAATAAACATGGACCGTTTTAATCCCCAATAACGTGGAATAATCGTGTCAATGTTCTTACGGAAAATCTTTAAGTCTTTCACCAAAATACGCTGCAGGGTCCGTCTGGAAATGCTCAATTGCGTGGCACGTCGCCTCGTTGGTGTTTCTGGACACTCTTCCACATCT